AGCAGAGGATGAAGCAGAGGATGAAGCAGAGGATGAAGCAGAGGATGAAGCAGAGGATGAAGCAGAGGATGAATGTGATTTATTAATAAATCTAACACAATGATCGTAATAATTTAATGATTAACTTCAAGTTTTAATTTGCTGACAAAGTCTGAGTGAAGACACTGCAGGTATGGAAGTAAGGCAGGATGCATTTAGACAGGAATTAAAGTAATTTATTACATCTACTCAAATGTGTGTAATTAAGTATTTTATGTGTGTATGTGTGTGTGTGTGTGTGTGTGTGTGTGTGTTTAATTGCTCTTTTAGCTACTTTTGCCTGAACCTAACACTGTAAGTGAAACAAGGCAAGTCTTAAATTGCTGTAAATTATGATATAAAACATATTTACTGTCTCATTCCAGAAAACAACAACAAACAACAACATCCTTCATGATGGACAGACATCATGGACACCACAGCAGCAGCTGTCTTCACTGAAACATCCTGAACATGATCGTCACTGACATGAGGCCTCTGTCGATGGTTGAAGACAAAGGCTTCACTACAATAATCCACACTTTTAATCCAGGTTACAATAATCCACACTTTTAATCCAGGTTAATCCAGGTTACACTCTTCCTTCAAGGACACATTTTACAAAGTAGCTACATATTGTGCAGGTATAAAGTATACATTTGTGTATATTATTGTGTACATTTATTTTTTATTGAAGCTATTTGACTAACTTGTTTTTTATTATTCAATATTTTACTAACAGAATAGTCAAGTAGCAACCTGTTTTTTATGCGATTTGCGAGGTCAGTCAAATGTTCAGTTTTGGAATAAAGAGGTAGAAATTAAAACCTTTTTTTTTTTACCAAATCATCGATTAATCACAAAAAATATCGAAATATTAATCGATTATTAAAAACAATCGTTCGTTGCAGCCCTAAATACTTTATTACTACTTTTTCTGTACGGATGAAGCACCATTCAGTTTTCATGTTGGGCGTAAAGTTACAGATACATATGAAAAAGAGAAACATCTGTATTTATTTTTATTGTTTAAACAACAAAAAACTGAAATGTATTTGTATCACTTCACCCATAAAGTTTGAAGGATCTTGTCTGCATACAGAGTGAATGAGCTCTGGTTGGTGTTGCTTCTTCTAGGGTTTCCTTTGAGAGTTTCTACTAAACTGTATCTGCAGAAAACACGTTTTGATGCCAGCTTTCAGTTTAATGCAAGTATCAGCATATCTACACGCAATGAGATGATGGGGTGGAACTTACCAGACACTCCAGTAGTCTGGCAGGACGAGAAATGATGAAGAAGAGCTTTTTGACGAGCTCTGTGACGAAGGTGAGCTCAGAACTCTCTGAGCGCTCGTATGCCTGATGAAGAAAAGACAGAAACAAAAGTGAGGTCAGTTTGTAAGACATGGAGCCACCAAGAACCTCCTCACGGTCCTCTCCACCTTTGTGTCTCGCGTCTCCCAACTCACGTCATGCAGCATCTTCTCCATGTTCTCCTGCAGCTCCCGGAAGTAAACGCTGGTAATGAGCCCCTCCTGTGATTTGGCCAGGCAGTCTCTGGAGAACTCAGCAACCTGATGGTGGATGAAGCTGAGGACCCCATCGGCCAGCGGTAGAACCATCTCTGGGGAGTAGTTCTGGATGAACTCTGCCAGCCGCTCCTCCATCTGAGCTGTAGCCTTGTTGTGGACAAAACAGTCACGGTGCTTTCAGACAATAACTCTACAAGGTAAAAAAAATCATCCTGAACACGAATAGTCTTTGCAGGGTCCTGCGTCTCAAGGATGCAGTGGACTACCTTATGTACATGATGGAACGTGAAAGGTCACGGAGTGTTACTGTCAGTAGGTTGGTGAAAATGGAGGATTGGACCCAAACACAGACTGGAAACAAGGAAGTTGAAGATAAAATTAAAAAAGGTTTTATTTAACAAAGTAAAACCAAAAGTGCTGATGAGGCAGACAAAAACTACGACCGTAACTAAATGTCCTGATGCATGCTACTAACTCAAACTAAGAAAACAGGGAACATGGAAGAGGAAACACAAGCAGTTCTGTGACGACATGACAAGACTCTCTCTTGATTGTCCATCATAGTCCAATGATGACTACCACGTATGTCCTTTGTAAGTTCTTTGATGGCTACAAAAGCCAATCTGGGAGCTACATTTGTTTTGCAGATGGGACAAATGAAAGTTGCTATAGTGGTGGTAGTACTGGCATCAGGAGGACTGTTCCTCCTGTGTCTCTGTTCTCTTTGTCTCTGTTAACTTTTCCTCTCTCCTCTGACAGTCCTGTGGTCAGGATGGCATAAGTTTTATGTCATTTGAATTCACCTGACCAATGCCATGTTCACAAAGCACTCAGGCCCATATCCTGTTGCTCTGGCCAACTCGAGCATTGAAGTCGCCCAACTAGATGATCGTATCGGTCTTGGGGATCCGCCGGAGAGACTAATCTAGTGGCTGATAGAAGCAATCCTTGACCTCGGTATCAGATGCCATAGTTGGTGCATAAGTGATTAACCTGTATAAATAAAGGTTGAATGAATAAGCACTGAGAAGGTAGCAAAACCATTATTTGCTAGGGGGATATGGAAAGACATCCGCCTTTCACTGATGCCCACAGGTGTTTCGGTCAGGCTTGATAGCAGGCTGTTTTTGACTGCCAATCCAACACCATGCAGATGATGTCCACCAGGGGGATATCTTTCCAGAACAAGATGTAACCCATTCCTTCTACCTTAAGGGATCCTTCATTTAGGAGCTTTGTCTTGCTCAAGTCAGCAATGTCGATGTTGTACTGCCTCAATTCAGTGGAAACTAGTGCAGATCTTCTGTGGGGTCTGACATAATTGCCAGTGGAATCCAGGAGGGTTCTCACATTCCATGTTGCTAGTTTCAAGTTTATTATTTTACTAGTTCGACCACAGAGTGGAATGTCCCAATACGTGTGGTAACCTATCCAGAAATATCCAACATTTTTCAGTCAGGTCATCTGGACAGTTTCTTTTTTATTTGGTGCTGAAACGTTTTGTCTTTGATCCAGAAGGCTTCATCAGTCAAGGAAACACAAAACAAAACAGATTCTTCCTCCAACAGCTTACTCCAAAGTGGAACAAACCAGTTCTGCTTGTGATAAGATGGTCTCTTTGTCACGCCTTTGTCAAACCTTGATTTCACATAACCGTTACAACGTGTGTGAATGAGAGGGAGGAGGTGGAACAGTGAGGCTACAAGGAGCAGAGGTCACAAAGGAGCAGGACTTCAAGGACTTGGGGTCCACTGTCCAGGAACATGGGGAGTGTGGTGAAGAGGTGAAGAAGAGAGTCCAGGCAGGATGGAGTGATGGAGAAAAGTTTCAGGAGTGATTTGTGACAAAAGGGTGTCAGCAAAGGTCAAAGGTGAGACCAGCTATGTTGTATGGGCTGGAGACAGAGACATGGACAAAAAGACAGGAGACAGAACTGGAAGTGGCAGAAATTAAGATGTTGAGGTTCTTGTTAGGAGAGACAAGGATGGAGAAGATCAGGAATGAGATCATCAGAGGTACAGCACAGGTTGAACACCTGAGGAGATGAAGTTAGAGAGGACACACTGAGATGGTTTGGACATGTCCAGAGGAGGAACAGTGGTTTGGACACGTCCAGAGGAGGGACAGTGGTTTGGACACGTCCAGAGGAGGGACAGTGGGTATATTGGTAAAAGGATGTTAGAAATGCAGCTGCAGGAAAAAGACAAAGAGGAGACATATGGATGCAGTTAGAGAGGACATGGAGGGAGTTGGAGTGAGGACAGAGGACACAGAGGACAGAGTGAGATGGAGGAGGACTCGCTGTGGAGACCCCTGAAGAGGGAAAAGCCGAAAGAAGAAAAAGAAGAAGAAGAAGACTCCAGTTTCCTCCCACAGATCAAAAACATGCATGTTAGGCTGATTGGTAACTCTAAATTGTCCCTAGATGAGAGAGAGAGAGTGAATGGTTGTTTGTGTCTATGTGTCCATGTGATGGACTGGAGACCTGTCCAAGGTGTCCCTGTGATGGACTGGAGACCTGTCCAAGGTGTCCCTGTGATGGACTGGAGACCTGTCCCGGTGTCCCTGTGATGGACTGGAGACCTGTCCAGGTGTCCCTGTGATGGACTGGAGACCTGTCCCGGTGTCCCTGTGATGGACTGAAGTTGGCCGCGGGGTGTCTCCGTCTCTGTTGACTGTTTAAATGGGACAAGTCGGACGAAACAACCGTTTTTATTTCCCCTGTACGTCACAGCCAGGTCAGATGTGAGGAGGAGAACGAGATCCAGGAGCAACGGTGCTTTATTCTACTAGATCTATCTCTGGGAAGGGGTCGTCTGTTTGGGATAATTGGATTAAACAACAGTATTTGACTTTTGTCTGTTCCAACGTGCACTAAACTGTGACAGTGTTACACGCCTGATGATCAGCTGAATCCTGATCAGATGGAACCAGGTATAGAACGTGTATTTCTATTGTTTGCTGTTACTGTTTTGAACTCGCTGTACTATGACAGACAACAACTCATACAAAATAAAAGCCTAACGGCAGGTTTTATCTGACCAGCACTCGGACTTTCATTCAGTGCACGTGCCTCTTTTCATCTTTAAATAAACAAAGCTGTGCTTTTAATGCATCTGATGTTGACTCGTTTACTTGTTTATTTATGTTCACCCCCGTGGCACTAACGAGTCATCGGTCGTGTTCTTAAAGAATCTGACTCCAGTGAAATAGTGAGTCATGGTTTAGGTGCAGGTGAGACGTCGGCGTGTTTGACGTGTGTGTGGCGGCGCACTTTACGCTCGTGTGTGTGTGTTTGTGTGAGGCTGACCTTGGGGAAGCGCTCCTTGTAGACATGGTTCATCATTACTATTTCATTGTCATAGCAGGACGGAGAGCGCCCCGGGCTGAGGAGACACAAACACACAGATCACGAGTCTCGTTTACTCTGCAGAGCTAAATAAAAACAACACTGAAGCAAACAAAGAGCGACGAGGCAGCGCACGGATCCAGTCCGGTGTTTCTCCTCACACTGTCACGTCAGAACCTTCTGCTTAGACATTCAGTCCTCTGTGCTCCTGTTTTAGATTATGCATCAAATGTCAAAAACAAAGAGTCATGAGACAAAATAAAAGCAAAGCAACAAAACATGTTATATTTAAGAGCAACTTTCTCTGGTTAGACACAAAAAATCAGTTCTGAAGTGAAACATCTGGACAAACACCTACGAGTGTCGTAATACGAACGGAGGTAATGAGACGAGTCGAGGTGCTGAAGCCACGTCGTGCAATCTAGGCCAACACACTGATGACTTTAATGAGGACTGACAAGCAGCGATGTTTGATGTGTAGTCAGGGACTGTGGGAGTCTTTAATAGGTGCACAGGGGGCACTGGAGGCTTTGACACCCCCAGGAACTCTAAGCAGAAGAGGTCAGACTGAAACAAGACCAGAGCATCTTCTTCTTCTTTCAGCTTTTCCCTCTTCAGGGGTCTCCACAGTGAGTCATCCTCCTCCATCTCACTCTGTCCTCTGCATCCTCTGTCCTCATTCTGTCCTTTGCATCCTCTGTCCTCACTCCAACTACCTCCATGTCCTCTCTAACTGCATCCATATGTCTCCTCTTTGTCTTTTTCCTGCAGCTGCATTTCTAACATCCTTCTACAATTATACCCACTGTCCCTCCTCTGGACATGTCCAAACCACTGTCCCTCCTCTGGACATGTCCAAACCACTGTCCCTCCTCTGGACATGTCCAAACCACTGTCCCTCATCTGGAAATGTCCAGACCATCTCAGTGTGTCCTCTCTAACTTTATCTCCCAGGTGTTCAACCTGTGCTGTACCTCTGATGATCTCATTCCTGATCTTCTCCATTCTTGTCTCTCCTAAGGAGAACCTCAACATCTTCATTTCTGACACTTCCAGTTCTGTCTCCTGTCTTTTTGTCCATGTCTCTGTCTCCAGACCATACAACATAGCTGGTCTCACCACGGTCTTGTAAACTTTTCCTTTGACCTTTGCTGACACCCTTTTGTCACAAATCACTCCTGAATCTTTTCTCCATCACTCCATCCTGCCTGGACTCTCTTCTTCTCCTCTTCACCACACTCCCCATGTTCCTGGACAGAGGACCTCAAGTCCTTGAAGTCCTGCTCCTTTGTGACCTCTGCTCCTTGTAGCCTCACTGTTCCACCTCCTCCCTCTCATTCACACATGGACTCTGTCTTACTACGGCTGACTTTCATTCCTCTTCTTTCAAGTGCATACCTCCACCTCTCCAAGTTCCCTTCCACCTGTTTTCTGTTCGCACCACAGATCACAATATCATCTGCAAACATCATAGTCCACGGGGATTCCTGCCTGACCTCATCTGTTAGTCGGTCCATCACCAGAGCAAACAGTAAGGGGCTCAGAGCCGATCCTTGATGCACTCCCACCTCCACCTTGAAGCTATCAGTCACTCCTAGAGGACATCTCACCACTGTCCTGATGTCCTCAAACATGTCTTGTACCAGTCTAACATGTCCTCTTGTCGTATGTTTTTTCTAAATCCACAAAGACACAATGGAGTTCTTTCTGACCCCTCTATTCTTCTCCGTCAACATCCAGGAGTTTTTGTATGAAGGTGGGTAAAAATCTATCCACTTCAATGCCTCTTTCCTGCGGTGTCCCGCAGGGCTCGATTCTCGGACCCCTTCTATTTTCACTCTATCTGCTTCCGCTGGGGTCGATCCTAAGAAAACATGGTATTCCATTCCATTGCTACGCCGATGACTGTCAGATCTACCTGCCACTGAAACCAGCCGGTGCTTGTTCCGTCCACCCTCTCCTCAAATGTCTGGACAACATTAAGACATGGATGGCTTCAAATTTTCTAAGTTTTAACGACCAGAAGACTGAAGTCATTGTCTTTAGCCCTAGCTCAGCTGCCGCCTCTTATCCTGTGAACCTGGACTCCCTTCAGCCTTATCTGAAGCACTCTGTTAAAAACCTTGGAGTAGTTTTTGACTCGGATTTTAAGTTCGACAAACAGATCAGTTCGGTTCTGCAGAGAAGCTTCTTCCAACTGCGGCAGGTAGCTAAGCTCAAGCCAGTGCTGTCTAGACCCGACCTTGAGACACTAGTCCATGCATTCATCACAACCCGCCTGGACTATTGTAATTCACTGTATGCTGGGGTCAGCCAGGCCTCCATCTCACGGCTACAGCTCATCCAGAATGCTGCAGCTCGGCTTTTAACCGGTACACCGAGGTATGAGCACATCACACCAGTTCTGTCCTCCCTACACTGGCTTCCTGTGAGAACTAGGATTGATTTCAAAATTCTCCTCCTGACCTATAAGTGCCTCAATGGCCTCGCACCCATCTACCTCTCTGAGCTACTGGAACCATATGTTCCCTCTCGGGCTCTGAGATCATCCGATCAGCTGCTTTTGGTTGTTCCAAAAACACGACTGAAGCTCCGAGGAGATCGGGCGTTTTCGGTCATGGGTCCCAAACTGTGGAACACCTACCCCCCAACATTAGGCATGCCACCTCCCTTCCTGTGTTCAAATCCCTGCTAAAAACATATCTGTTCTCTCTGGCGTTTCATAATGTGTGAGTTGATTTAGTATATCTTGTTCCATGTCTTCATTTTAATGATGTTTAAATTTTTTAAGGTATATTCTTACTGCTTTTTATTTTTTAGTGTCACCCTTAGTGTTAAGCACTTTGATAACAGTCTATCTGTTTTAAATTGTGCTCTATAAATAAATATGACTTGACTTGACTTGAAAGCAAAGATGGATCTGTGGTGCTCTTTCTCAGCATGAAACCATACTGCTGCTCACAGTCATCTCTCGTCTAAGTCTTGCTTCCACAACTCTCTCCCAGATCTTCGTGTGGTTCATCAACTTAATTCCCCTGTAGTTGCTACAACTCTGTACATCACCCTTGTTCTTAAAAATGGCCACCAGCACACTTCTTCTCCATTCCTGAGGTATTTTCTCACCCTCAAACATGTCATTGAATATTTGAGTCAAAAACCTCGCTGCCATCTCTCCAAGACATTTCCAAACCTCCACTGGACATCAGGTCCTACTGCCTTCCCCTTCTTCATTCTTTTCAGAGCTTTCTGGACTTCACCCTCACTAATCTTTCCCACTTCCTGGTCCACAGTTTCTATGACCTCTACTCTTCTTTCTCTTTCATTCTCTTCATTCTTTAGCTCCTCAAAGTACTCCTTCTATCTTCATGTCATACTCTCCTCACTTGTTAGAACATTACCATTCCTATCTTTAACAAGCCTAACCTGCTGCACATTCTTTCCAGCCTGATCCCTCTGTCTCACCAATCGGTACAAGTTCTTCTCTCCTTCCTCATACAACTCATCCTTCACCTTCTGCTTTGCCTTAGCTACCTTCCTCTTTGCTCTACATCAAAAAAAGTTTAATACAAGAACAACTGGACTTTATTTGTAACAGAAGACATTTTGCTCCTCATCCGAGGAGATTTCTCAATTCAAAGAACAGTGAATGAGGGGTTCAGGCAGATTTCCTCATCTACACAGAATGTAGTCGACCTGCGTACTCCTTCCTCCACTCTTATAGGTCACTCTATGCTCCTCCCTCTTTTGGAAACAGGTGTTGACTACAGCCATTTCCATTCTCTTGGTGAAATCCACCACCATCTGTCCTTCCTGGTTTCTTTCCTTGACACCAAACCTACCCATCACTTCCTCATCCTCTGTTTCCTTCACCAACATGTCCATTCAGGTCTGCTCCCATCACCACTCTCTCCTCCCTGGGAATACTCTCTATCACTTCATCCAGATCTTTCCTAAATGTATCTTTCTCCTCCACATCACATCCAACCTGTGGAGCATAACCACTGACAATGTTTAGCATCAGACCTTCTACTTCTACCTTCAGACACATCACCCATAATGATAATGACCAGTAACACCCCATTTCTCTTTCTATCCACACCATGGTAAAACAGTTTGAACCCTGCTCCAATGCTGCGAGCCTTGCTGCCCTTCCAATTGGTCTCTTGGACACATAAAACATCTACCTTCCTTCTCAGCATCATGTCAGCCAGCTCTCTACCTTTGCCTGTCATTGTCCCCACATTTAGAGTTGCAACCCTCAGTCCTACATTCTTCACTTTCCTCTTCTCCTCTGTCTCCTGACACGATTCTCTCCTTGTGGTCTTTGACAAGAGCAGAGCACAAGATGAAAATCAGCCTTTATGCTACAGTTTTGTCATACTTTGTGTCTTGTATGCTTATTGTCTACCACCAAAGGCAAAAAATGTGATAAAAATTTCACGTGTGTCCTTAAGCAGCCTCTGACTGTTCATAAATCACTAACTGAGACATAGACGTGACGTTTCAGAAATAAACCAAGCTCTGTGGAACCAAACAGCGCAGTTTGTCATCACTGCAACACAACCTTGAGCTGCAAACTAACCTTCATAAATTATAACTGCATTTTACAGCTACTGAGCTAAAATACTGTGATGTGGTAACTGACACTAATTCACAACACAGCTGGCCATAAATGGAATAAGCATGTTTGTATTTTAGCAAACTATCTCTTAACTCAGGGCAGCAAGGTGATGCAGTTGGTAGAGCTGCTGCCTCTCAGCGAGCAGGTTGCCCTGGTTCAATTCTTGGTCCAGGGGCCTTTCTGGGTGGAGTTTACAAGTTCTCGCCGTGCATGCGTGGGTTTTCACTGGGTACTCCAGTTTCCTCCCACAGATCAAAAACATGCATGTTAGACTGATTGGTAACTCTAAATTGTCCCTAGGTGAGCGGGAGAGAGAATGGTTGTTTGTCTCGTTTGTCTCTATGTGTCCCTGTGATGGACTGGAGACCTGTCCAGGGTGTACCCCGCCTCTCGCACAGTGATAGCTGGACATGGACACCAGTGACCCTCGCAACCCGAAAAGGAAGAAGTGGGTAAAGATAATGTATTGATGAATGGATGGATGGATGAATGGATGGATGGATGCATGGATGGATGGATGGATGGATGGATGGATGGATGCATGGATGGATGGATGCATGGATGGAAGGATGGATAATTGATAGATGGATGGATTGATGGATGGATGGATGCAAGAATGCATGGATGGATGGATGGATGGATGGATGGATGGATGGATGCATGCATGGATGGATGGATGGATGGACGGATGGATGGATGGATGGATGGACGCATGGATGGATGCATGGATGGATGGATGGATGATTTATGGATGGATGTTTGATGGATGGATGATTGATGGATGGACGATTGATGGATGGATGATTGATGGATGGATGCATGGATGGATGGATGATTGATGGATGGATGATTGATGGATGGATGCATGGATGGATGGATGATTGATGGATGGATGCATGAATGGATGGATGCATGGATGGATGGATGATTGATGGATGGATGATTGATGGATGGATGATTGATGGATGGATGGATGGTAACTGACAGTAATCTGCAACACAATTGGCCATAAATGGAATTGGCATGTTTGTTCTTCAGCAAACTATGACTAACTAGACTATGACTAACTAGACTATAACTAACTAGACTATGACTAACTAGACTATGACTAACTATACTATAACTAACTAGACTATAACTAACTAGACTATGACTAACTAGACTATAACTAACTAGACTA